AAAAACAGGCTTCACATGCTCTGTTCATAATTGGATGGCCCACAAACCAATATTATATGATATGCAAAGTTAAAAAGGTGAAATATATAATATAAGGCTTCTATGTTTTTTTTCATTCAAAGTTTTATTCTGTACAAGGGTTGTCTCTAATTCCAAGATGTGCACGAACGCAATTCAGACTTATATGATCTTCGTTAACATTAGTAAAGAGGAGAGCAAAAAATCACATGGACCTTGGAAATTGACCAGCTATGAAGAAGGGCCCAAAATAGTTAACCGTTATACATTGTTAAATCCAATGCACACGCAATATTTACTACCAGTCGAGCCACATATAGCACTAAAACTTCTTGGTAAGAAACCAGAATTTGGAGAGCAGGGGACTAATGATACTAAAGGAATCAAAAGTCAATGAATCCATTATCTCTACAATTTTTGGTTGCACGTGCCTGTGGATAGAAATTAGAGACAGTTGCATATATATATATGTAGTAGCTTAGTTTGGAGATTTTTCTAATGTTTATTTATTATTTTAATGGATGCTGGGCATGAGAACGAAGGGCCAATCACATTGAGAACAACAATTCTTTTCATGCATAGTCGGAGGCTATAAAGGATTAAAAAAAGTTTGGACTGGGAATTGTATTGTCAAGCGATTCTTTGTTATCCTTTGGGGCCGTGCGCTCATTTCGGATCTCTTGGTTCTCAAAAGTACGGCATCACGGGTCAAGTTCCCTGTCCTCTGGCGCACACAAGTGCTTCTCCTAACGGAATCACGTACGTGCTGGCTAATGTTGGGACACTTCAGCATTAGGGTACTGCCTGTAACAGCATCCGTCTCCAGCCTTAATTCCATTTTCTCTTGTAATTTTGATGCATATATTGGCCAAATTCCGCACCCTTTTATCCTGTGATTATATACATTCGGATGAGAACCGAAGATAGAACTAAAGAAGAATTCACATGCAAACTTGCAAGTGGCGCCCTCAACAAATCGCCTTATTTGGTTTTCCTTCAACATGCGATCCACTGGATCATACCATAACCAAACATGATCTTTACTCAGATACCCGAGGTAACTGGGTTCATTTTCACCCTTGTAATAGATCTTTTCATCGTCAAAGTGGAATTTTCTATCACCTGGTGGCCAAGAGCCAACCACCAATCCAGAAAAAATACAACAAGAAGCGAAACCCAATAAATGGTCAGAAGAAGCTGGTGCAAGCTCAATACTAATGGAACTCTTAGCGGTCTGAGAATATTTGAAGCCCCCTGGGATTGTGCTTCCGGGATAACAGACTCTAACCTCACTAGAGTTATGTATTGCTCGCATCAGTGGGAAACTGAAGGTCTCCAGTGATGGGCAATCGCTGAGATAACAACAAATAAGGGAAGATGGAAGTTCTGGTAAGGACCTAAGCCTCCGGCATCCACTCAAATCAATTTTTCTGAGCTCTGAAAGATGCTTGATGCTATTTGGCAAACTCTTAACGCTGCTTTCTCGTAGTGATAGAATCTTCAACAATGACATGGCACTGATATTGTCAGGGATCTCAGAAACCTTACAGCTTTTTACATGCAATTCTTCTAACGAACGCCAGGCATCAAATAGAATGAGTAATTTTGATTTGTCTATTACTCCGTCAAAACAATAAAGAGAGAATATTTAAGAGATGTCAAGCAATTAGCTCATTTACTTGAAAACTCCTGAGAGGGTCACTGAGATGTAGCTCTTCAAGTTTATTGAACGTCCAACCGGAAAGTTTAATGTTTTGATACTTGTTCAATCAAATGTAAACTTCTCATTTCTTCTGATGACAACAAAAATTCCTCCAGAATATAGCAGTGCGTCAGGTTGAGTTCCTTGAGAGATTTCAAATGGTTATTCGAGTGAAGATTCTTTAGCTTGAAGCACCCTTCAAGATTCAAAGAAACAAGTTTAGGAAGAGACAAGATTGATGGATGAATACTACATAACCAGTGACAATGGCTAAGGTCCATTATTTCAAGATTTTGTGCCATGGAGAAATCAGGCAACTCCTTTAACCTCCACGAATGAGCAAGATTTATTATCTTCAAATTCATAAGATCCTGTGACAAGTAAAAGAGAAAATTTATTGAAAAAAGCCCTCATAATTCAATTAGACTAAAGAATAAAACGTGCATTAATATATAGCCATACCTGCACACCCTCCGATAGTTTTACAATATTACTATGATACATTTGGATTTCAGCCAGTTTGTCTGCACAAAAACCAAGCGATAGAGTCTTCAAAGGGCAACGTCTCCAACAAAAATATCTTAGTTTATTAGGAAGTGACTCTAGACCAAAAGGAAAAGGCACTTCATATGCGTTTTCATTAAGATCAATCTTGAGAAATCTTAAATTACTCATTCTTCTAAAAGCGTCAGCACTCCAGTGTATGTCGCTTTTTAACTCATGTATGCTCAACGCAATGCCTTCAATTATATCAGTTCCCTAGAACATAACAAAATTCAAATAATGTATTAAACAAGTGGCATGTAAAAATTCTTTAGTGAAATAATTTAGTGAATGAAAAAGAAAGTTAAAGCATCCTTCATTTACCTTGTTATTTTCTAGTATATCTTGAATTTCTTTTACATCATTTAATCGACTTCGCCTTTTAGGGTGCTCTCTAGATTCCTCACGAACTATTTCTTCAGCCATTTCTTGTAGCATATCATGAATTTCTACTCTATTGTCACTTGAAATAGTTATGAGTGCTGTATCTAGAAGCCTATCTATTCCAATGTCCATGTAGAGGTCATCATCACAAGCATCAAGCACTCTCATAATATCTTCTTTCTTTTCTCCCCTGAAGAAGAATGCAATATTTAAAAATATTTCCTTTTCTGGTGCATCAAGTCCATCATAGCTCACCCTCAATACAGTTTGAATTTCCCTATTTGGATACTTTCTCAATTTTTTAAGGGCACTCTCCCATGCTTTTGTATTTCTAGAGTTCAAATATGAACCCAAAACTTTTAATGCCAGAGGAAGACCTTTTGCATATTCAATTACCTGCACTGATAACTTTTCATATCCTTGTTTGGGATGGCCTTGCTTGAAAGCATGCTGACAGAAAAGTTGAAGTGATTCTTCCTTGCTTAATTCTTTCACCTCATGTACTTTATGAACTCCTCCACTAATAAGAACATGCCTGTCTCTACTTGTTATGATGACTTTGCTACTTGGTCCCAATGAGAGATTTTCTTCAATAAGATATTGTAATTGACTGGGGGTGTCTACGTCATCAAGCACTAGAAGAACTCTTGTTCGACGTAGCCTCCTTTGAATATTAGGCATTCCAACCATTGTGAGATTTTCTTCGTTTAGTATAACAATGAGAATTTTTTCAAGTAAACAAGTCAATCCAATCTTTTTCGATTCCTCTCTCACATTTGCTGCAAAGCAAGAACTATCAAATTGGTGGGAAAACTTATCAAATGTGGCACGAGCCAAGGTTGTTTTACCTATCCCTCCTTTACCCCAAATTCCAAGAACTCCAGCTTCTTGTGAGTCATTTTTCATAAATGATTCAACAGTAGCCAAATTTTCATCAATTCCAATAAGGTGTTTTGGCTCAATTGTGTCTTTACCTTCTAGCTTTTTTGATATATCTTTGATTAGTCCATCAATAAGATCACATTCATTTCTGCCATGATAAAAGAAAAAATTGTTTTTAAAAAAAAAATCAAATAGCACATTTTTAAGAATAATGTAATACGAGCCTCGATATAAATATCAATATCACATCCAATATTACATCTATGGATGTAATTATTTTAAAAAATTTTATGGGAAAAAAATATATAATTCACTAACTATGACAAGATCTATCTAATAAACAGAAAGAGGAAACAACTTACTGAAAAGTTGAGGAATGATCATAACCAGATAAGTTTGCAGCTTCTTTCAAGACAGATCTCCAAATTTGTAACAAGTTGTCTTTAAACTTCTGCTGGTGCCGAGCAAATGAATCAGCATAAGATCCTTCTTGATGCCTAACGTGTGATGGGTCTACATTATAGAAAACTGGGATTACAATCTGATTATTGACTCTCCTGCATTCCATGATTTTCTCTAGCTCTTCTAAGCACCACCTTGAAGAAGCATAGTCTTTTGAGAATATCACTAACGCAATTCTTGATCTTTCTATTGCTTCCAAAAGTGCAGATGATATTTCATCTCCTCTTTCTAACCTCTCATCCTCGTACACGTCTATCCCCTTTAGTCGTAGCTGCTTTCTCAAGTGGCTAAGAAATCCACGTCTAATGTCTGAACCTCTAAAACTAACAAAAACATCATATTTTTCCTGCCGAACTTTGGAAGAAGTCGTAAAAGTTGCCATTACTGAACATAAACAAAAACCACAGGGTGTTAATTATTCCTAATAAATTTGATGCTAATCTCTTCCCCCAAGTTTCCGTTTATAACATTCTAATAAACATATAACTGTTTAAATATTATACGTCTATTTCCGTGTGAGTTTAATTTGTATCTAGCATGGCGATGGCCCAAATAAAAAAAAAGGTATCTAGCATGGGTGGCTTGGATATAATTAAAGCTGGTTTCACATCTCAAACATAATAAAGTGGGAAAAAATTATCAGTAGGTGCCAAAAACCATTGTTAACGCCAGAAGAACAGGATAGCTCGTTTACAATTGTAACTAGGCGGAGAAAAGCTCTCCTCTAACAAAAAATAGTTGAGCATCTCAGAAGTACCAATACTACTGATTACAATCTGAAATGGGTTGAAGGACTTATTAGCTTAAACAAGTGGATCAGACGTGAAGGAACAAAATCTAAAATCCAGATATGAGGGTCCAGGCGTCATTGAACAGGCCAACATGCGAAGTGAAAGAATCAACTGAAATCTCTGTTCCTCCCGGAGGAATAGGGATTACTAATGCAGAGGGGAGAAATTTTTTGGTGAGTAGAATATATCAGAGAGCGTTATAAAAGCAGAAAAATAAAATAGAAATTATAGCATTTTATTAAGATTAATTGTGCGATAAAAAAATTATAGGAGAGACATTCAGAATATATGATTGAGATTCACCATCTCACCGAAACTTTTATTTAAAATTTAACATAATATTGATCCTGATACATATGTACTTATGCATGAATAGTTTGAAGATATAAATTTTACAGAGACGAGGAAGAAGATCATCGTACCTGGATAGATCAAACCTTATCTCTGGCAAACTAAGAGCATAAGTGACGGCTGGGTAGACAGCAATGCAGTTTTTAAGCAAAGAATTGAAGAAGGTTTCTGGGAAACTTGGTTGTCAATGCGAGGAGTCTTCGTTATTAGAAGCAGCTTCAATTTTCACTCCAAAAAAAAAAAAAAGCAACTGCAATAATTTTAGATGACAAATTGGCTTATGCGCGTTTCCTCCATTGGTCATGCTCCAAAAAGAAAATAAAAATCAAATAAATATTTGATTTGTTGACTTGATTGCTTTCTAGTCAAATGCTATCTTTTCAAACAACAACCGTGTAACTTAATTAGCTGGTAGTCCAGAGATTCTATGTTCGTATCCAAACGTGGGCCATAAATGTCGGTACTCGGTACCTGTGACTTGATACAAATAAAAAATAACGGACCATTTTTTATCAATTTTAAAAAATTCCTTTCATTTATGTAAAATAATTAAAACTACTCCATCCATCCTGTATTATTAGGAAAAATTAATAGATTTTTGCGCTGTTTTATAATCAAAATCATCCTTCATACGCATTTAAATCAACCTTCCTTAATTGCCCCGATTATTAAGATTATATATGGTATAACACTTGTGTTGCAAAAATTTATTACTTTGATTATAGGTGAAATGCAATTTATTGATAATCATCTTCTTCTCGCATATTTTGTTCGAGACTGATATTACATTGGGTTATTCAAATTGCCCCAGCATTATCCTTGAATCATACAAGTGTCTGTTACATGCAGGAAAAATTTGTTCAATGATGTTCTCATTTATTCAAAGGTCAGTGACACGTTGGAAAATGATATCTACCAAAGATGTTTTTCTCTATGCACTCTCGCCCCATGCAACCATTATGATTTTGTGAATGCGGAAGAGGCTTTACCCACCTTTGCACGGCTATATTTCACTGCATCCACTTGGAGTTAAACTATCCTATTTAATCATGTATTAGAACTACCTTTAATGGAAATCTTTTATAATCAGTAGGAATATTTTAGAAAATATTTTAGAGAAAAATTATAAATTTAAAAGACAAAGTAAATTGAGATATTAAAAGGACTGAGCTACCCTTTTGAGTATGTATTCACAAGGAAGCATTAGAGTAAAAGTTTTACTAAATTATGCTATTTAATTATATGTATTGAAATTATTTTATAGATTTACTTATTTTGAAGTGTGAGGTGCACGAATTTAAAAAAAAAAAAACTTATTTTAGGTTTTTTTCTGAAATTTTTTCTATTTTACACTGCACACATAGCATATTGGTCAAAAAGGCTAAGGTTGTACCTTCCATTGCAGGGTCCATTGTGTCTAAATGCGTGTTACTTTTTTGCTTGTGAATGGTTTGTCCTAAAAGATGATGTTGATGCTTCATGCCAATTGCTATGCTGCTTCTCGACAGCTTCCCGCTGCCTAACGTAGCAAAGGGGGAACGTTTCATCAAAATTCAGATGACCCAAAAATAAAAACATTTTTCTTCAAATTCACAAACTCCTCCACATATTTATTTTATATATTATAAAAATATTTTTAAAATTATAATTTTGTTTTTATCTAAATACCATCACAATTGCTCTCAACTTCTACCCGTGGATGATAGGGTCATTGTTTTTAGTAACTTATATTCTTTAATATACTCATGCTTAATTAATTTGAATATATTAAAAAATCAAATAAATTACTTAATTATGATAAATATGACATAATCTCCCTAAAATATTTTTATAGAATAGATTATATATTTAATTTATAATATAAATAAATTAGTTTGAGAAATAATAAATATGATGAACAGATTAAGATATTATATTTAAACCAAATCTAATTCTCAACTTTTTTTTTTCAAAAATCCTCAACTAGTTCTTATACAAAAAATTGAACAAAGTAATTGTTAGTGATGATAGGCTCAGTTTTGCTTGGAAGCAAGTTAATTGATGGGTTCTAATATTTGTTATGTTTTGGACCAAATTAATATATATTATTTAGAACTCAAGTCTTTGCAGAATTGCATGCATTGGCCTTCATATTAAATGACCCTTAAAACTTTAGCGTAGTTTGATGTGACGAAAGTAAAAAGAAAAGAATATTACGAAGGGAATTCAAAACAAAAAGAAAGTAATTTTCTAATTATTTTTAGAAGCTTTTTTCGTAGTATTTTCTGCCCTTATTTTATTTTTTAACCATTTTTCCTCTATCCAAACTAAGCCTGTGTTATATTAGACAAGATGACATTCACTATGCAAAGACATAGGAACTTGTAGGAAGTTGAAAACTCTTTGGAATCATTTTTGGGTTTACTCTAAGCAGAAAAATTAAAGCATTCTTCTAATTAGAAAATTAAAGTGTTCTTCTAATTATCAGCAATCCTGAAAACAAGACACATTTTTTTAAACTCTTAAATTTACATAAATGCTATGTATAGCAAGTTTAATTTGCAAACTCATTTTTTGCCTTGAAGTATATTTCGATGCTACTTGTATTTTGTAAAGATATGAAATATCATTGTAATTAGTATAGGAAATCAGATATGATAGCATAGGATCAGATTAGATATGATACGATATTATCTCCTAATAATGAGCCATTAATGCCTAGGCTCCTCCCTTGTGTATATATTTTCTCATTCTCAATGTGAATAATACAAGAAACATATTTCATATTATTTCCAAGTCAATATGGTATCAGAGCAGTCTGTATAAGAGTAATTTCCCTCTGTTTAAACATTGCTGCGCCGTACACACACTGTTCCTGTCGTCCAGATTCGTGCCTATCATTAGGGCTTCTTTATTTGGCCTCTGAACGGAGCACGCGCCGGCCAGGGAGGATTGCGAGGTTCCGACTGGCCGAACCCCGAAGTATCGCCGCCGTCCGAGCAGCGCGTGATCCTCACGCGCCGCCACAGTCTTCACGCATCGTCACTATTCGTCCACGCGCCGCCCTGTTTTCCGACGTCTGAGCGGTTTTTTGACTTCGTCTCCCCTTTTCCGGCGCATCCCTGGTGAGTCTCAGATCTGGGTCGCTCTCTTTGTCTTGATCTAGAGTGTTTGGGTCTTGTGAGGCAACGTTGTTGCATTCTGTTTGAGATTCAGATCTGTTTTCTTGCCTCTGGTCATTGATCTGTTTCAAGGCTACGTTTGGAGATTGTTAGTTGGTCCCTGGTGTGACTATTTGTGGTTTCTCATTTCCTTTTTGTCACTATTTGAACCTTTCTTTTGTTCACCCTCTCTGTTGATTCCTCATGGGTGATACTAAGTCTACAGTTACTTCTGAAGTGGTTCCAGTAGTCGTTAAGATTACTGAACACAAATTGAATTGGACAAATTATCTAGATTGGAGTAAGACTATTCGTATCTACTTGCGAAGCATTGAGAAAGAGGGTCACTTAACTGATGACCCCCCGAAAAATGACTCTCGTCAATCATGGTTGCGGGATGATGCACGACTGTTCTTACAAATCCGCAACTCTATCGACAGTGAGATTATTCCCTCTGTTACTCACTGTGAATTTGTTAAAGAACTGATGAATTATTTAGAATTTTTATACTCAGGGAAGGGCAACATCTCTCGTGTTTATGAGGTTTGCAAAGCTTTCTATCGTGCAGAAAAGCAGGATCGTCCTCTCAAGGCCTACTTCATGGACTTCAAACGAATGTATGAAGAACTGAATGTCCTAATGCCTTTAACTACTGATCTGAAGGCTCAACAGGCTCAACGAGAACACATGGCCATCATGAGTTTCCTTACTGGTCTCCCGCCTGAGTATGAGGCTGTTCGCTCTCAAATTCTGTCTGGATCTGAGATTCCTACCCTTTAGGAGGTGTTCTCCCGTCTAATGAGGACCGAGAATCTTTCATCACTGCCTACCACTGCTCCTGTTAGTGCACTAATCAGTCGAGGCCCAAATGATAGTCGTGGGACGACTAACCGTGGCAATTCAAGGCAAGGGGGAGCGACTCCAGAGTCGAGTGGAGTGATATGCTACTACTGCAAAGAACCGGGCCATATGAAGCTTACGTGTCGTAAGCTGCAAAATAAGCAGCAACGTAATAATTCTGCACATGTGGCAACGCTAGCTAAGGACACAGTCACGATCTCTGCTGATGAATATGCCCAATTAAAATCCTCCACATCATC